GGCAGCATCTTTCTAAGAGTGTTGAGAACTAATAAGAAGCAGAAGGCAATAGAGGGTAAGAGTAGGTGAAAAGCAAGAAGTAAAACTAGAGAGAAATTGGTTACTTGCGGGTCAGACTATATAGGACCTTGCAGGGACGACGTGAAATCTCTAGTTTTCGTGTGGTACAAGATCTGCAGGTACTGGCTAACTATGAACCAGAGTTGGTTCTTGGGTATAAAACCAGTGCAGGTTTACATAACTGCGTGCTCAGAATGTGCTCAAATGTCAGTGTCACAGTTACCATCGTTTCGTATTTGAACCTGTGTTTTGCAGTGAAGTCCAGTGGGATGATGGAACATCACCAGTTTGTGCCTGGTCCTGCCTCCCTGCCTCATAGGATGGGTTCTCAGACACCCACTCACCACTTCCCAGTGTCCCAGCCCTACGTAGCCCCCAGTCTCTCTTCCACTCTGTCCTGAAACTGATGTTGTTCACTTCTGCAGTTTGGATACAGCTTGTCTCAAGGGTTCATGTGCTGAAGGCTTGGTCCCCAGCCCTACAATGTTGAGAAATGGTGTGAAGCCTTAAGAGGTGGTAACTAGTGGAAGATGCTTAGGTCACTGGGACTCCTTGCCCTGAAGGGACTGGGATAGTTCTGTTGGGACCACTGAACACCTCTGAGAGCACATTATTACAAGAACCAGCACAATGCTGAAGTCACTCCCTGGCTTCCTGTTTAGGGTGTGATTTCTTCCTCCTGCGTATGTTCCCACCATTGTGATGCCTTTCACCATTTGGCCTTTACCAGAAACCAAACCAACAAGCATCCTAATCTTGTACTTTGAGCTTACACAATTCTTTGCCAAGTAAATCATTTTTATACGGTATTCTGCCTCAAGTATTTTGTGATAGTTATGAAAACCGCACTAATACACCTACCAGCCCAGAGAGGGCTTGACCAGAAAATAGGGGAGTGTACCAGGGTCAGGTGTGTGCCCCACGACATTCTGGCGTGAGACTAGTAGTGACTTCATGTCCCTCACTTGGCAGTACCAGGTACATTCAGCCAGCAACTCAGTGGAGCCTCTGGCACACCCAGGATCCAGATAGTGGGGCAAAGGCACAAGAAAAGGGAGAGCAGATTATTTTCCTGGCCCTGGCTAGGGTCCTGCATTTTTGGTTTGCACTGGGGCCTCAAAATTATGTGGCCAATACTGAAATGAGTCGCTGAATGTCATGACCTGGACTTCCTTTTACAGAGGCCATGTAAAAGGAAGGCCATTTTTCTGACAGCTATGCAGATGGTGGGAAAGCAAGAGTGAAAAAGGAAATACTGTAAGGAGGCAGGAATGCAGGCGACAGATCACTGTGAATCAAACCAGGGGCGACCAGGGAAGGTGGCATGAAGTGCTCCACGAAAATTACACTGTGAGAGGAGAAACAAGCAGAGATGACTCTCCCTTTACTGTCCTCAGAAGCTAAAAGGACAGAGTTGTTCTTTACTTAAATGGGGAAGAAGAGATAGACTGGGGGTCTCTGGAGCTCAGTTTGGGGTGTTGTATGTTTCAGATGTCTTTTGGGCATCCAAATAGAGAGGTAGAGAAAGTACTAGGTGTACTACGGGGGTCCAGAGGACTTGTGCAGTCTGGAGAAAGAAATACGGGTACCATCAGCATGTAGGTGCTATTTTTAAAGTGACTGTTCATAAAAGCAGGAAGAGAGAGACAGAGTGAGAGCAAGAGAGTGCCTGCGAGGGAGAGGGTACAGAGAAAAGTTTGAGGGCCGAGCCTGTTGAGAGGGAGAGGAGCTGGAAATTACTTATTAATTAATAAATTATTAAATAAATTAACAATTAATATTAATAAATTAAAAATTATTAATAACAATCAATAAATTTATTAATTTACTAAGGAAATGGGTTTGAAATGGTGAGAAAAAGTCCCAGAGTGTGTGGTGAGAAAGAAACTGCATTGAGAAGGGATGGTCTGCTACGTTAGGTGCCACTCAGGCGTTCAAGTACAGTGAGTGTTAGGTGGGGTGTCAGATATTAGCAGACCTGAGGGACAAAGTGGATCCAAAGTAGCACGCTTTGCTAGTTATAGTTAAATGCAGAAATAAAAATCTCAATTTATAATACATTAAAAATTACTTGTTAGGTCTCATCCCCAAAATGCTCCCATGGAGCACAATGACATTTTAAGATTACACATTGTGGACACTCATTACAACACACAGGGGTCTATTTCCAAAGTAAGGCACATGGCCTCCCTGGTTGTGGCGGCCTACAGCCCAGTGATATCAGAAAGAGGAGAAAGCTTGAAAGATCCTCCCAGGTTGGGCTGAGACCTGATATCAATTAGAACTTTTTCTTTCATAAATTTCTTTTGTAAGTTTCTTACATGGTTAAGACTCCTGAAGGAACACAGGGGATCTGAAAACGAAGAAGGAGACATTTTGCGACAGTGACTTCCCAAAGGAACCTCTCGGGAAATGTTGATAAGCATATACAGAATGCAGGTAAAACAATAATAATCACCGTAGTGTCCTGAACCCCAGGAGAAACTCTGCTGTGCATAAAGAGATATCCAGACTCCCCCTTGAAGCAGACGTCTTCAAGGCACTGTCTGTCTTCTTGCTTAAAGGTGTAATTCTCTCAACAAACTCAGCCTGTACTTGTGCACGGTCACTGCATGTCTTGTCAGAATTCTTTTGCTGAAGCTGAAGGGTTGATGAGGAAGGGCCAGCTCCTCATGGCATCAGGACCCAGCCTCCCGGTGACAGCAGGGACTGAAAAGTTCCGTAAGGTGGAGATAAAATAGCAGTGACCTGATAAGGACAGTTCCAGTTGAGTTGGTTTATCTGAGTACATTCAAATGTAGCAAAGGGAACAGGAATCCAAGAAACCGCAGTTAGGCAGTGCTAAGGTTTAGAAAGTGTGCCACCAAAGCACACGTGTTACAGAATTGGTCCCCACTCGAGTGGTGCTATTAGGAAGTGATGGAATGTTTAAGAAATGGGTCCCAGTGGACACTGGCAACACGCACGAGCTTCCTCACGGGTTCACTGCTTTGCTGCCCTCCTGCCTTCTGCCCACCATGAACTACTTCTCCCCTGCAATGCCCCTCTGCCACGCCCCCCCGCCTGGGAGCCAGCCAGCTATGGCCTGAAATGTCTACAAACCGTGAGCCAAAAGAAACTTTTTCTCCTCTAACTTTGGGTATCAGGTATTTTGTCTCAGAAAGAAAAGCAGAAAGAAAAGTAGCCAAGACATCAAGAAAGGACTTCAGAGATCAAGATGTTTTCAGTGGATACTAGCAGTGATTGAGCATGGAATTTACACTGTGTAAGGACGGAAAAGTTCTGAGAGTACGAAGAGGTTAAGGGGAAGAAACATGTGGCAGAACCCCAAATCACGGGTACTTGGGGGGGCAGACTACGGAGAAGGGCGTTAGTCAGTCAGCGGGAGGCTTAGCGGTGAGTTTACGAAGCTGCGCAGTCATCACAGAGTTTAGGGGATGACAGTCGTGGCGGGTCTCTGAGACAGGATGAAGGTAAAATCACCAACGGAGAGATCACAGTTCTTGATAGATTAGGAAAGACGATGCGTGTCCAAGGCCAGGGGCTCAATAACTGTTTTGAGCACTAATATTAAGAGAAGTTGACTAGCCGGACATAAAGTGTTAGAGCTGAACCAGTAAATAAGAAAATGCTGGAAGATTGGGAAACACTTTAAGAGAACATTGTACATTGAGTGTGCTGAACATGGTGTCAAATAGTTTGTATGTGTCTTTTTATTCCTTCCTGGCAACATTACTAGATTCTAAAGACCATGATCAACTCTGTTTTATAAAGCATGAGCCTGGGCGGCAGGGAGGTTAAATAATATGCCCAAGACCAACAGGCTGAGTCCACACTTCAAGCTCGTAACCGTTACGTCTGCCTGCCTCGACAGGTGCAGTGGTTATGATGGAACAGGTAATATCAAATACATTCTGAGATGTCATTACTGGATCTATGGGATTAGAGTCTCTTGAGGACAATATTGCGTACAAAGCTTTGCAGTATCCAGGATCTCATCGAATCCTAATAGTAATCCTGTGTATTAATTTGCCAGGATCATGGGGCCAGGAATTAGCAGAGCCTGACGTGAATGCTGTCCTTTGACTTTTTACCGGTGTACACCTTCCATTATGAGCAGGCAATAATTTCCAGGGATGGAGCAGATAAATTTCACGGTTTTGAATGCATGTATTAATAAGGAAAACATTACTAGTTATTTTTTAAAAGCCCAAGAGAAAAATTCTCATAATTCCTATGTTTCTATGGGAACATTCGTTAGCACAGAATGTAGCATTCTTCCTGTCATGGAATGCTCCCTCTATAAATTCATGCATTCACTCCACTAATGCTGTTGAGCAAATAGTCTGTTCAGGTGCTGTGCTAAGTGCAGATGATACAACTGAAAAAATAAATCCCTATTCTAAGGGAATATTCAATCTGCTCCAGACCTTCAACACACTCGATAACCTGCAGGGCCTGTTCCCACCTGGTGCAACTGAAGGCATTGCATTTGAACTAGAATACACTCTATCTCTGAGGACCCAGTTACCTAAGAGATCCTGCCTTTCCCTGGTGGTTGGCAGGAAGCACCACGAGCGGTAGCACCCTGGAGACGGAATTTTACATCTGGACTCTGGTGAAATGGAAGCAGTGTTTTCTAAAACAGGATTTTTCTACTCCAAGAGGGCCCAGTTTTAAAGCTGGATTTAAACCACATCCTTTCGCTCGGTATTCTGAATGGCTCCGTGGTACAGTATTGCCCCTCAGCTACCACTTGGCCTTGACTTTTACCAGAACTATTAGATTTGTACATGCCACACAATTGTTTACGGGCTGTATGGTCAACACCCTCCCACCACGATGTCAGGCAAAGGCCAGGTAGGGCAGAAGCCGAGGGTCCAGTCTAGGAGGACAAGGACAAAGTATCCAGAGTGGAGTAAATTTCTCTGTTTAGATTGATGACAAGACAGCTGAGGAGCGATACAGCTCAAGATGTGCGCAGTGGCCATTTCTGCACGCAGCGAAATTCGTGCTATTTTAAAGCACTACTAATTAAGACTGCCACAGTGCGGGACAACCGAGTCACCTGGCGCCTCCTGGAGAGGGGCGGGCTGAGCGGGGAGAGGTCAGCCTCACCTTCAGATCTAAGAGAACTGGTGTTCTTGGTAGCCACGCAAGGCGCTTTCCTCCGGTCTTTTTTTAAATTTTATTTTATTAGTAAATGTTTGCAGTACACAGTGGTTAAGCGCATCGTGGGGAGTCGGTACACCTTCATTCCGTTTCCCTCCCTCCCCTGCCTCCGCCTCGCAGGTGTGTGAGTCACAGTGTAATTTCAGGATTAATTCTCTCTCTCATATTTGTAAAAGTTAAGTGAGAAATATCAAAGTCCAAGTTTTCTTATTTAGAAAAGATGAAGACACTGTATTTTACTGGGTTTTAAGAATCTGGAAACTATCATCATCATCTGTATCTCCTTATGTCTAATTGGGTGGCCCTCTCCCATCACACATTAAATTCACTGGAGTCACTCAGGAGCCCTGAGACCACACGGCTCCTCTGTACCCATGCAGCCTTAAGACGAGGTAATTCTAGTTTCGAAGTAGGGGAGGTGGCGCCCGCGCCCGCTCCTCCAGTCGGGGCCCACCGGCCGGGGGCGGGGCGCAGCGGCTTCCGCGGCTGCCAGCCGCACCCTCCGCC